CCCAAGATCAGGAGTCACCTGCTTCATGGACTGAGCCAGCCAGGTGCCCCTAAAATCATTTTTTAATTTTAATTTATTTTTAAAACATTTTTAATTTATTTATTCATCAGAGAGACACACACGCACACACAGAGAGAGAGAGAGAGAGAGAGAGGGGCAGAGACACAGGCAGAGGGAGAAGCAGGCTCCATGCAGGGAGCCTGATGCGGGACTTGATCCTGGGAGTCTAGGATCATGGCCCGGGCCAAAGGCAGGCACTAAACCACTGAGCCACCCAGGGATCCCCATTTTTTAATTTGTAAATTGTATTTTTTAATGACAAAAAGTCTGAGCTAAATACTATTATTAGAGAAGCTTCTTAACTGTCTTCAAGTTTACGGAGCTATAAATGACAAGCCAAGACTTAAAATCATGAGTGCCCTTAACTCTTATGTCATTCACTTAAAACGTTATTTTTTTTAATTTTTTTTAAATTTTTTTTAATTTTTTATTTATGATAGTCACAGAGAGAGAGAGAGAGAGAGAGGCAGAGACACAGGCAGAGGGAGAAGCAGGCTCCATGCACCGGGAGCCCGATGTGGGATTCGATCCCGGGTCTCCAGGATCGCGCCCTGGGCCAAAGGCAGGCGCCAAACCGCTGTGCCACCCAGGGATCCCTTAAAACGTTATTTTTAGAAACAGTACTATGTGCTATTGTTCTAGGTTCCCTGGATACATGGCTGAAACAAACCAGACACACACAGTCCCTCTTCTCATGGAGTTTATATATATTACATTCTAAGGAGGACACAGTAAATATGTAAGCAAAACAAAATGCAGAGAATATTTTGAGATAGTGGTGCTATATTGCCTCCACATTCTTCATTTTCTTGAAGGGTTTTTAGTTTTCCTTAGGGTTTTAGTTAGAAAAAGAATTTTTAGGGATCCCTGGGTGGCGCAGCGATTTAGCGCCTGCCTTTGGCCCAGGGCGTGATCCTGGAGACCCAGGATCCCACATCGGGCTCCCGGTGCATGGAGCCTGCTTCTCCCTCTGCCTATGTCTCTGCCTCTCTCTCTCTCTCTGTGTGACTATCATGAATAAATAAATAAAATCTTTAAAAAAAAAAAGAATTTTTAGAGGATCCCTGGGTAGCTCAGTGGTTTGGCGCCTGCCTTTGACCCAGGGCGCGATCCTGGAGTTCCGGGATCGAGTCCCACATCAGTCTCCTAACATGGAGCCTGCTCCCGTGTCTCTGCCTTTCTCTCTCTTTCTCTCTCTCTGTCTATCATAAATAAATAAATCTTTAAAAAAAAAAAAGAAAAAAAGAATTTTTAAAATCAGTTTGACAGTGTTTACTGAGCAGCTACTCTGCCAGGAACTCTACTAAAGCAGCTTGCTAAAACATCAAATGGTTGAAATAGATGAGAGAGATGAAGTGTGGTCAGTTCTGTCTGTTCGGTTGACAGGTAAACCTTTGTGTATTCAGAATCCCAGTACCTATTACTGAAACCCAAGCTTGGCTGCCTGTAGCTGGAAAGGCCAATATTCTAGAGATGAGAGTTGTTTTTTGTTTTTTTCCTCCTGATTCTGCTCCACCCCCGCCCCAGAGATCAGTTTTGATTGAAAAAGAAGATGAGCTTTATTCAGGAGGCCTGGGAAGAAGGCAGACTCTTGTCCAAAAGCTACTTCCAAGTTTTTTCCTAGCCCAGAGATTTTTAAAGTGATTTAAGGTAGTTAATTAGTTAAGGGAATGCAGTGGTGTATGACAACTCTTGACTACGTGCAGTCTCAGTGGTGCCAGCAACACATGTTATCACAGTGCTTGGAGGTATTTCAGTGGGCTCTGGTTCAGGGATGGGGAGATGTTGTGCAAGAGGATTTGCGTCCTTGATGCCCAGAGTGGTGTAGGAGAGCATGGTGACACGTAGTAGAAGTTTTCTGTTTTTTCTAGGAAAGAATGCATGATCTTTAAATGTCAAAGGTTGGGATCCCTGGGTGGCGCAGCGGTTTGGCGCCTGCCTTTGGCCCAGGGCGCGATCCTGGAGACCCGGGATCGAATCCCACGTCGGGCTTCCGGTGCATGGAGCCTGCTTCTCCCTCTGCCTGTGTCTCTGCCTCTCTCTCTCTCTGTGACTATCATAAATAAATAAAAAATTAAAAAAAAAATAAAAATATATGTCAAAGGTTTAGTTAATCAGTCATGTGGGCTAAGAATGCTTCAAGACTACTATGTTGGTCAGAGGGGCCAAAAGCAGCTTCCTACCTAAGAAACGATTTTCTTTTCTTTATTTCTCTTCTTTTCTCTTCTCTCTTTCCTCCCTCCCTCCTTCCTTCCTTTTTCTTTTTCTTTTTCTTTCTTTTTTTCTTTTCTTTTCTTTTCTTTCTTTTCTTTTCTTTTCTTTTCTTTTCTTTTCTTTTCTTTTCTTTCATCTTTCAACCATTTTATGAAATGATAAAAACCAGGGAAGCCATGAGGCTATTCACATACATATATACAGTGTGGAGGGACAGAGGAAAAACCAGCACCACACCAGGTAGTAACTGCTAACCAACTTCCTCAAAGCTCCTAGCAGCAGAACACTCAAGACAGGAGTATATTTATATAGACCCATGCCTGTTCTCTGAAATTGTCAAGGACACGCATTTCCACTGGCCTGTCTCTGTAAGTTTTTCTGTATGAAATGCAGTGGAAGTTTTCAGTGACTCCAAGACAGGCATAGAGAACTCATTACCTGTCCCTGTCTGGATTGTGGGATGCCAGGATGTGACAGGACAGGTGGAAAGGGAGAAGCATCCACGCAGTATGGAAGAAAATATGGTGAGAGTGAGCCATGGAGGGGGTTCCCCCTGTTGCATGAGGCCACTAACACACCTTGACTCTGAGCCTTCCAGTCTGATCAGCAGTCTCAGAACCCTGTGCCCATCCATGGAATGTCTCAGGTAAAGCTGCCCTAGTCCACCAGGCCCCCAGTTTTCATCCTGAGGTTTGAGGGGCTGCAGCCCAGGGCAGGGATGAAGAGCTTCTCTCAGGGAGAGCCAAGAGTGTGCTATCCTTTCCCTGAGAAGCCAGGGCTCTGCTGCTCCCTCCTCTTTAGAGTTGGTACCTCCATCCCCCCAGTTCTCTACATACTGTCTCCACTGGCTTTTTAGGAACAGATTTTCTGACTGGTAGATCATGCTAGCCTAAATATTTCTTATTTTTGCTCTTGTAGACAGAAAACCCGAGATAATTAGCTACTGTACGAAAACACATTCTCTCTCTTTTTCTTTTTTAAAGATTTTATCTATTTATTCATGAGAGGCAAAGACATAGGCCGAGGGAGAAACAGGCTCCCTGCTCAATCCCAGGGCCTCAGATCATGACCAAAGCCAAAGGCAGATGTTCAACCACTGAGCCACCCAGGTGCCCCTGAAAACACATTCTGTAACACTTTCTACTTTATTGAAATAAGATTTGGAACTATCTTTTTTTTTTTTTAAGATTTTATTTATTTATTCATGAGAGACACAGAGAAAGAGAGAGAGAGGCAGAGACACAGGCAGAAGGAGAAGCAGGCTCCAAGCAGGGAGCCTGATGCGGGACTCGATCCCGGGTTCCCAGGATTACACCCCCGGCCGAAGGCAGCGCCAAACCGCTGAGCCACCCAGGCTTCCCTTTTCATAGATTTTTGAAAAATATTTTATTTATTTATTCATGAGAGACAGAGACATAGAGGGAGAAGCAGGCTCCCTGTAGGAACTTAATGCAGGACTCAATCCCCGGATGCTGGGATTACAACCTGAGCCAAAGGCAGATGCTCAACCACTGAGCCACCCACATGCCCTGAAGATTCTATTTCTAAGTGATATCTACACCCAGCATGGGGCTTAAACCCACAACCGGGAGATCAAGAGTCATATGCTCTACTAACTGAGCCAGCCAGGCACCCCAAAGTTACATATATTTAACTACAATTTTTTAAATTCAAAGAGAAAAAAAGAAGGCAGTCAGATGTGAAGCACCTACATCTTTCATTCATCACTGATGAGACTAAAAAATGGTATAGCTGCTGGGGGCAAGTGTCTGGCAGTTCCTTATATACATCTGCCCTATGAGTCAGCAAGTCTAGTCCTAGGTATTAAGAGAAATGAAAACTTCTATCCACTAAAAATAGGACTTGAAAAGAGTGTTCATAGCAGCTTTATGACAATGGCCAAAAATTGCAAGCAGCCCAGGTATCCGCAGATAGATAAATAGATAAATATTGGTGAATACCACTCAGCGATAAAAAGAACAAACTAGTAATCTAACAACAAATGAATGACTCTCAAGCATTATGCTAAATGAAGGGGCACCTGGCTGGCTCAGTTGGTGGAGCGCGTGACTCTGGATCTCAGGGTCCAGAGTTCAAGCCCTGTGTTGGGTGTGGAGCCTACTTTTTTTAAAAAAGCATTATGCTAAATGAAGAAGCCTTTTACTGTATGATTCCATTTATTTAAAATTATAGAATGTACAAAATTTATGTGTAGTAAAAATAACTCAGTGTCTAGGAGATTTGTGTAGTTGATTGCATGTATATTTCATTGCTTGTAAACCAAAAGAAAGAAAGAATTGTAAACAATAATTGAATAAAATGCCTGTTGAAGTAATTGAGGGAGGTATGTCAATATCTACAACTTTGAAATATATCAGTAAATAAGGATAAGTAGAGGGATGGATAGATGGACAATTATGTGACAAAATAAGTATAATAAAACAATTGTAGATTGTGGATTGTGGATATATAGGTGTTTACCATACAGTTCTTTTTTTTTTTTTTTTTTAAGATTTTATTTATTTGATAGAGTGGGAGTACACAGTGACAGGGAGGGAGAAGCAGACTCCCTGCTGAGCAGAGAGCCCTACCCGGGGCTGGATTTCAGGACCTTAAGATCATGACCTGAGTTGAAACCAAGAGTCGGAGGCTTAACTGACTGAGCCACCCAGATGCCTCAGAATATGTTTTATAGTGGTTTTTAATCTTTTTTTTTTTTTTTTTCATGTCAGGCAGGTTGTGTGCCATGGTTGTAAGAGTTTGAGGGAGGTACAGGTCACAACAGTATAAACACTGAGTAATCACACTTATGAACTACAAAAGGATCACTTCCTGTCTAAGTGTAGGAAAGCTCACACCCCTTTTCTCATAACCCTGGATTTTTAGAGAGGTGAGACTAATTGTCTTACATAAGGGCCTACATTCTGGAATCTGTTTTTGTTTGTTTGTTTTTTAAAGATTTTATTTATTCATGAAAGACAGGCAGAGACATAGGCTGAGGGAGAAGTAGGCTCCCTGTAGGGAGCCTGACGTGGGTCTCCTTCTAGGACCCCAGGATCACACCCTGAGCCAAAAACAGATGCTCAACCACTGAACCACCCAGGTGCCCCTGGGATCTGCCTTTATTTGCTTCCTTATGGTGGTGTTTTACTTGTTCTGTCCCTAATGTTTCCATAAACAGGACATTAGATCTAAGGGTTTGATTTCTAGGGGCGCCTGGGTGGCTCAATAGGTTAAGCATCTGACTCTTGGTTTTGGCTCAGGTCATCATCTCAGGGTCATCATGAGGCTCTGCACTCAGCAAGGAGTCTCCTGCTCTCCAAGTCTCTGCCCCTCCCCCTGCTTGTGGATGCACGTGCTCTTTCTCTCTCAAATAAGTTTTAAATATTTTTGGCAAAAGTACTTCATAGATGGGATTCCTGGGTGGCTCAGCAGTTTAGCGCCTGCCTTCAGCCCAGGGCATGGTTCTGGAGTCCCGGGATCGAGTCCCACATCGGTCTCCCTGCATGGAGCCTGCTTCTTCCTCTGCCTGTGTCTCTGCCTGTCTTTCATGAATAAATAAATAAAATCTTTTTTTTTAATAAATAAAATCTTTTAAAAAAAAAAAGTACTTCATAGATGATACAGTACATAAATAAGCTGAGTCTGGGACTGACCCAGATGGGCATTCCTTATATTTAGGTTTGTATGTTAGTTCTGAACTGGAATAGGGCAGGGAACACAAACAGTATAGGCTCTGATTAGAAAAATATTTTTCCCTCTCCTCAGGCCAGGGCTGAGTCTCACCTGGGAATCCCATCTTTAACCATTCTTTTCCTCTTGTTTGCTTTCTTTCCAGAATCCCAGCTGGCTACTGTTTTGTAGAATTTGCAGATTTGGCCACAGCTGAGAAGTGTTTGCATAAAATTAATGGGAAACCCCTTCCGGGAGCCACACCTGTAAGGACACTTGGATAATGATGATATTCCCGTTTTTATTGTCATCGATAACTCATTTTTTGAATCCCTGCTGTATCCTCACTTTATTTAATCCTGTAACAACCCTGCACAGTAGGCATCGTTATCTTTGACAGTCCAGGAAGCTGAAGCTCAGGGAAGTGGAGTAACATGTCTGAGGCAGCACAAATAGTAAGTGGCAGAGGCAGGACACAAACTGAAGATTGGTTGCCTCTAAAATCCGTGCTTTTTGCACCCTGCCCTGCTGTCTCCCTTAACAGAAGACTTGAAACTCTAGACCTCTTGCCTGATTGAGAAAATAGAACAGGCTGGCAGCAGTGAGGACACATTTCAAGAGAGTTACATTCTGCTCTTCCCACAGTTACTTAGCTTACAGCTGCATCACGCTGGCACACCTGGGCTCATAGAACCATGGAGCTGGCAATGCCCTTAGCGGTCATCCGTGCCACCCCCTCATTTTATACAGGAGAAAAAGCTGAGGCTTAGAGAGGGGGAGATGTTTTGGCCAAGGTAATTTATTTCAGTTTTTTTCAAATATTGTTAGACTTTTGAAACACCTTTCTCTGTTTTAGTTTGTTTGTTTTTAAATTTCTAGGCAAAACGTTTTAAGCTGAACTATGCCACTTATGGGAAACAACCAGATAACAGGTAAGTACAGGATAGTCCCAAGGTAGCTCCAAGCCCCAGGAAATGTCTGGATAGAGACAGGATGCATCACTATGCTGGTCACTACCAAAAAGGAGGTTGGGGGGCCGAGGTTAGTCTGCTTTGCCTTCCTCCTGAAGGATGACTCTCTATCCTCTTCATCTAGTGGACCTGCCCTGTGTGCTTCTTGTCAGGTCGCATGTCTTCTCTATATTTGATCCTGCCTTCCGCCCTGTTACTACCACAGTATTGATGTTTTTTCATTCAATAAGAATTGACCTGTTGTAGCAACATAAATCGATTCTTTCAGGGTGCTCTTCAAAAGCTTTAAAACAATGTATAAGAGCTTTAAAAGGATTTGTGCCCACTGACCCCTAATTCTACTTCAGAATTTATATGTGGATGTGTGTAAGATTGGCCTCAAGTATTCATTGAAATATTACATATAATGGGAGAAATTGGGAAACCAAATAATTTAATGATAGAGAAGTGGCTTAAATGACAGTCTGTTCATTAATTGGAATACTATATAGCCATTAATACATCATTTTGTAGCAAATAAAGACACATTAAGAAGTTAGTGATAGGTTGAAAATGAAAAAATGCTAGAAACAAAACAAGTGAGTCATACCTGAGTTTTGTAAATTCTAAAAGAGAAGCCGGGGCGCCTGGATGGGTCAGTCGGTTAAGTGTTCAGCTCTTGATCTCAGCTCAGGTCATGATCTCAAGGTTGTGAGGTTAGGCCCTTGCATTTGGCTGCATGCTGAGGGGTAGAGTCTACCTTAAAAAAGAAAAAAAGAAGCCAAAGACAAAAATATAAAACAGTGTTCGTAGTGATTACTTTTGAGTTGTTGGGTAATTGGTAATTATATTTTTCTTTGTCTTTTTGTGTATTCTGATTTAAACAAGGGATGTGTATCATACTTGAACTAAGAATGATGAGTTTACTTGTTTTTTTTAATAATTTTTCTAGAACAGAGGTTGACAAAATGTGACCTGACTTGTATCACCCATGAGCTAAAAATAGTTTTTATGCTTTTAAAGGATGTAGAAACAAAAACAGAGACCATAGGTGTCCCACCAAGCCTAAAATTTTTACTATCCGGCCTTTCGCAGAAAAAGTTTGCTGACCTATGTTCTAAAAGTTGACATATTTCATTTTAGCTATGCTTTCATTCTTAGGAGATAAGGTCCAGTTCTCATTCTCTATCTTTTACTGTTTGAATTAAAAACATGCAGTGATGGGCTCCTGGTTGGCTCAGTTGGTAGGGCACACAACTCTTGATCTTAGGGTCATGAGTTCGAGCCCTGCTTTGGGCATAGAGATTACTTAAAATATTTGCAGCAGATACAGAGTGTCTAGTTTTCTCTCTGGAGGACCTCTGATTAGGGCCCCCCACCTGCACTGAACAGGCTTTGTTCAGTGGGTTAAGCACTTGGGACGGGGGCTGCTTCCGTAACACTTCTGCCAGGACTGCCAAATGCAACAAATTAAGGACCCATCAGATGTGCTGTTCCCTAAGAAGGCCCAGGAGAGGTTTACTTAAAGTGAGCCAGAAGAGCTTGTTAGAACAGAGGTTTTGGTGTCTGTCTCTGAATCTTGTTCTCTCCTCTCAGCCCTGAGTACTCCCTCTTTGTGGGGGACCTGACCCCAGATGTGGATGATGGCATGCTGTATGAATTCTTCGTCAAAGTCTACCCCTCCTGTCGAGGAGGCAAGGTGGTTTTGGACCAGACAGGCGTGTCTAAGTAAGGCCTTACCTGTTACTGATGCCCACCTTGTTCCAGCATTTGTGTCATAGATGGAGGTGTTAGAGTGAGGCCATGTAGCACTGTGGTTAAGAGCACAGGCTCTGGAGCCAGACTGTGGTGTGCATCCTGACTCCAAAACTGGCTAGGGGGGATCCCTGGGTGGCGCAGCGGTTTGGCGCCTGCCTTTGGTCCAGGGCGCGATCTTGGAGACCCGGGATCGAATCCCACAGCGGGCTCCCGGTGCATGGAGCCTGCTTCTCCCTCTGCCTATGTCTCTGCCTCTCTCTCTCTCTCTGTGTGACTATCATAAATAAATAAATAAATAAATAATTAAAAAAAAAAACTGGCTAGGGATACTACAGTAAACAAGTTACCCAACCCCTGACCCGATTTCCTCATCCGTACAACAGATGCAGATTAATCGTGCCTGCTCACAGGGCTGACCTAATGATTACATGATGTGATGTAAATAAAGCAGATAGGGTATGCTTGAGAGGTGTTTGCCATTTTATTTATTACTGTTACTTCAAAAGTGGAGAAACCTCAAGAAAGGCTTATTCTTGATCAGAGTAATAGCTATAAGCACAAGCTTGAGTTAAAAACTCACAACCTGGATTGAATCCTGCTTCTACAATGATATTGGGCAGGTGATTAAATCCCTCTGAACTTGTTTTTTTTCTCAGTAAAACGCTGACTACTCTTATCTAATCTTTGGGCAGTTTGAAGAGATAAGCCTGGGGAAATGCTCAGCAGAGCCCCTAGGAAATAAGTATCCATGAAATGTTAGCTATCATTTGTTGATCCCCCAAGTAACATATGAGTCCAGGGGTGCTGGGCCTGCTCAGTTGGTTAAGTGTCTGACTCTTGGTTCCGACCTACTCTTGGTTTCAACTCAGGTCATGACCTCAGGGTCGGGAGATCCAGCTCCAAGCGAGGATCTGGGTTCAGCGTGGAGTTTGCTGGGATTCTTTCCCTCTTCCTGTCCTTTCCCCTCTGCCCCTCCCCCCACTCGTGTGCATGGGTGTTCTCTCCCTGTCTAATAAATAAAATCTTAGAGAATATGAGTCCAGCAGAGCAAGAAGCTTGTCTGCTTGTGATTGCTGAGCCCCATTGCCTAACGTGATACCTGTTCTACAGGGCGGATGTGGTAAAATTTTGCTCAGTGAACTACAGCTGGTACTACCACCACTGCTACCATGATGATGGTGACAGTATTTCCGGTGGATTGGGAGAGAAGCCACTGTTCGGGAAGGATCCCATCAGTGAAGGTGTGGAGGGGAATGGTGAACTAAAGTGGGGGTTCCTCCAGTCTCAGGATCCTGCAGTGCTGGAGTATTTGCATTGCCTGGCGGCGGATTTCTATTGATGGGACTCTCATCCCTTCCTGCAGAGTTTGATAGACTCCTCCGTTCTTAGACTTCACCTACATCACATTTGTGATCTAAATAGGGTGTGTGCTTTTGTTTCCTGCAG